CTGGGCCAAGAGGTGGGCTGGTTTGATGATCACAAGAACAGCCCCGGAGCTCTGACCACGCGCCTGGCCACTGATGCCTCACAAGTTCAAGCAGTGAGTTAAAGACTCAGTATAAATGGATTTAGAAAAGAGAGAATAATCACGTTGTACGGTAAAATGATGCTTCTTTTCCACTTCTCCTCGAAGGCCACAGGCTCGCAGATCGGCATGATCGTGAACTCTCTGACAAACATCGGCGTGGCCATCCTCATGTCCTTCTACTTCAGCTGGAAGCTCACGATGCTCATCCTGTGCTTCCTGCCCTTCATCGCCCTGTCAGGGGCATTCCAGGCTAGGATGCTAACGGTGTTCGCCAAGCAGGACAAGCAGGCGATGGAGGTCGCCGGACAGGTCAGACTTCAGACTGCAACAAAGCTATTAATTTATCAGCGTCCAGGATTCTGATATTTATGGACTTGTCGAAGGCATCATCTTAATATTCCTGATAAACTTTCAGGTGGAGTTACAGCAGCTACTGACAGCAGATAAGAGACAGCTTAACAACAATGTCTATTTTATGCTCACGGTTTCAGTTTTTTAGGAGTAGATCTACATCCCAGCAGATGAGGTCAGATCCTTGAAATTGGCAGGTTAGGCTTGGAGGGAGCTAGCACTGTCAGACTCAATATCTACTGTGGCCATCCAGGTTTAAAATCCTCTCATGGTACAGACAACACAGCGGATAAAACCTTAAGCAAAATAAAGCCAGAGCAAGGAAGTTCAAAATCAATTTGCTGTGAACTTTTTTTATACCTTCTCAGTGATATCGATGCAGTAAAATCAAAGCATCTGAATAAAGTGGATTAGATTAAAGTTTAATGATCCCTATCGGGGAAATGGGTTTGCTGTGTCAGCATTAAATAGTATGTAGATAAGAATAGGTGTTAATGTTTTATCTATATCCCCTTCACACATTAAAACACACATAAGAATTAGGAACAACTTCTCTATGCCTGTTTTTTTGCATACTATTCAAATCGTAGTTCTTAATTTGCAGATTTCCGGCGAGGCATTGAACAACATCCGCACCATCGCCGGCCTGGGGAAAGAGAGGACTTTTGTGGAGCTGTACGCGGCGCAGCTCCACGCTCCGTACGAAGCGGCCCTGAAGAAAGCCAAGGTGTACGGAGCCTGCTACGGCTTCTCACAGTGCGTCGTGTTCCTGACCAACTCCGCCTCCTACAGGTTCGGAGGTTACTTGGTGCGACAGGAGGGGCTCCATTTCAGCTTGGTGTTCAGGTGAGAGGAGAAAGCTTCCCTGGTATTCACTGGGATTTACAAAAACGACTATGAAGAGGCAACTACAAAATATAAATACAGAAATAGCTATTACTGAAACATTGATTTATTAAGAATAAGTAGAGTACTTGGAGAGGACAGAACTCTTCACATGCTTCTTGTATGGTTCCATTTTCCACGTTAGGGAGTTGTTTTTCCAACTTTGGCATGTTCAAGAGTGTGAGATCGTAATGTGGACAGCATGGACACTAAATATTTCTCAGAGTGTTTAAACTGTACATCGATAGTGGATTCTGAGTTGTTCTGAATTTGCCCAGTTGGGAACACATTTTCTTACAGAAATACGCTAAGGCCAGCTGAACAAAAATCCATTGTTCCAGGAGAATGATCTTGTGGATGTACACAAATATGAATCGATAACTTACATTGTGTTGGTTTCTTGGTCAGGGTCATCTCAGCCATCGTCACCAGTGGCACAGCTCTGGGCCGAGCCTCGTCTTACACACCAGACTACGCCAAGGCCAAGATCTCAGCGGCTCGTTTCTTCCAGCTGCTGGACCGCGTGCCTCAGATCAGCGTCTACAGCGATAAGGGAGATAAATGGGTATGAGGGCATATGTTATGCTACGTGTTATGTGCTGTTCTGACACATTGCACGCTGAGTATATAAAGAAATGATTGCTCTTCTGTGATGAAAAGTCTAATTTATTATTCTTTTATTGCTTTGCCTATTCATTTTACATCAGTCATTAAAAATGTGTAAAAAGACAAGGAATATTGAATAAAAAAACGTAATAATTAAATTAATTTAAATACATTGGGAGTGTTATCTGCCTTTTGTGAACAGGAGGTGGCACCCTAACACACAGAGAAACCTACCCTAACCTTTGCTCTCTTTTTCCTGTTCTCCCCCCCCCCCCCCTGCTGTGTTTTCAGGATAACTTCCAGGGGAACATTGAGTTCATTGACTGTAAGTTCACCTACCCCACCAGGCCAGATATCCAGGTCCTGAATGGGCTGAATGTGTCGGTGAAGCCGGGCCAGACGCTGGCCTTCGTGGGCAGCAGCGGCTGTGGGAAGAGCACCAGCGTCCAGCTGCTGGAGAGGTTCTACGACCCGGACCACGGGCGAGTGGTGAGGGCACGGCGAGGCATACTGTATATACTGTCAGTGGACTATGAATAGCTTTACTCTAACTGGACAATCTGAGATACTGTATGCTACTTAATACTCCTACTTCACAACATTTAGAACATTACACCACTACATTTATTCTTCAGCCTATAATATCTGGTTAATTGTCCTAATTTAACAAGCCAATAGTAATTAAAATGAGCTCCAACTCATCCAGATACAATATTAATTAACTAATCAATGAAATACATACATATATAAAGGGTAGTTAAATGTTTTAAGTTGCATCAGGAGGCATGCAAATTATATTGACTTTTCTATAATGACATTGATGAGTTGACTTTTCATTAGATTTCCCAACTGATACTGAGCAACATTCCAGCTAAAAGGGAGTGGGTATTGGACTTCAATTTGTCAAGTTAATTCAAACAGAACCCTAAATGAATGCTAATGTTGCAACGCATCTTCTGAATGTGTAAATAGACAACTGCCACATTAGCTATATTAGCCACATTAGCTATATTAGCCACAATAGCTATATTAGCCACATTAGCTATATTAGTCACAATAGCTACATTAGCTTTATAAGGAGATAATAGTGTCAGTGTTGCGTTCGAACTTCTTCTGCCCCAAGAGGCACAGGATACTGGGGAATACTTAGCATTTGGAAAGCAACATGGAAAGTACAAATAAAAGGTCTGACACATTATATTGTCACAGCAGATGCTGACCTTTTTCAAAATGTCAGATCTCTCATTGTGAGATTAATAAGTCATGTATAGTCTGCTTTCAATTATTTACACTCATGAGGGTTAGTTGAGTGTCGCTGGGAGGTAAAATCTGAAATGTTTCAATGTCAAAGAAGGATTGCTAAACATTCAGGGAAGTATATCTGACTTCTATTCATTTGATCTTTTATCCTGACTTTGTGCTGGTTTAAAATAACAAAAAGATGGAGGTTTGCCTTTGTGCCAGTACGGATCCCTGCCAAGATTCAACTGGCTTAATTTAGTTGGAAGTAGTTTGGAAACGTGGGTCCTGATGTTTGAGGAGGACATCATCACCTCTAGGTAGCGAGTAGAGCAATCACAGTAGAGATGGTGTAATGATGGCTCATTAAGTGGATTGTATTCTCAGCTTTTGGTTATTATATTGCTTTCTCCTAATGGTAAAATCAATGGCTTCCCGCAGCTGATAGATGGCCATGACTCGACGGGTGTCAGCGTGCCCTTCCTGCGCTCTAAGATTGGCATCGTGTCCCAGGAGCCCATCCTGTTCGACTGCAGCATCGAAGAGAACATCAAGTACGGCGACAACTCGCGGGAAATCAGCATGAACGAGGTCATCTCTGCCTCCAAGAAAGCCCAGCTCCACAGCTTCGTCATGGCGCTTCCTGAGGTACTGTGGGCATTTCGTGCGGGAATGTTTGGACCATGGGAGGGTAACATGAGGTTTATCTGTCTGTGTTCAGGAAACAGGTTGGCACACATGCACAGCTCATGATCCGAACAGATGAAGTGGCACATGGCGGTGTGAGAGAGGCTGGTATTTAAATACTCTGGTGCTGAGGAGGGACATGTGTGGGTGATGTGTGAATGAGCAGCAGGTGTCCTCCTTAATGCCACTACATGCTTCAGCTAATAGATTCCTCTTAAGCTATTTTCATGAAGCTGTGGAGAGCAACTTGATCTGCAAAATGAATGTTATGTTGGCTTATTTACGTCTGTCTCTAGATTTGTCTTAATGCTGTGGCTCTGACATTTTTAAGGAGTTCAAATATGGGTTTTCTAGAAATGTATTTAAAATAATGTCTTTTAAAAAAAATGGATTTTTTTTATGGATAATTCAACTGACAGCTCGGATATTTCAAGTTTATCAACACTGCAGAAAGTCATTTTTGCAAACATTGAACAATTAGCTGTTATAATGACTGCACTCGCGATTGACCAGCAGCTTGTTTAAAAGGTTTTCATTATTGTATTTTCCCAAAATGCAACGAGGCTCATTAGCTGCAGCAGCTGACTGATTGTAAACAGCTACATTTTCTTCAATCAGATACACTTCAGATTTTTGTAAATGTATTTCATTTGTAGTTCAGTATATCGCCGTATAATAGTGAATTTAAGGATTTTTAAGGACCATATTAATGCAATGACTTGAGAGTTTGAATGTTAAATCCCCTGATGGTAACTTTTTTTTTTTTTTTTAAACACAAGTAAATGTTGTTGTTCCATTAGATTATTTTGTGAGGATCTTATTTGTGGCGTATTTTAGGTGTTGCGTTGAGTGTCGAGTTTCTTCACTTGGCCTTTAGGCATGCTACAACCAGCCTCAGGATGTTTAGTGTGAACAGTTCAAGGTGACAGAGAAAGGTGAGGAAGTCTGAGTGTAAGTTACAGTATACAATGCTCCTTTCATAAAGGGCCTAGGGGAAGCTAGAGAATTTTAGAGGCCATATTCATATCATATTCACAGAAATCTTTTGTTCACTGAATCCAAGTCATTATCAAATTGTAGATTTTGTATGAACTTGCATGGGAAAATAATAATAGAAAGACCAATTAGAGGGGGATATGACTCACCATATTATTCCATCTGGCCTCAGAAATACCAGACGAACGTCGGAGCCCAGGGATCTCAGCTGTCTCGCGGTCAGAAGCAGCGCATCGCCATCGCCCGGGCGATCATACGTGACCCGAAGATCCTGCTGCTGGACGAGGCCACATCTGCCCTGGATACGGAGAGCGAGAGGGTATGCTTCATTACACCCTGAGCACCACGATGTGTACAATCCACACTATACTACAGTGCAGCTGCTTGATAGTCTTCAGGCTCAGAGAGCACACAGGGCACGCACTTAATTATTATTATCATTAACATCATTATCATCCATCCTCTCTATTATTATCACCAGCAGCTCACAGTTCACAGCAGCCCTCCGGTTAAGATGTCTGTGGGGCTGCTCCGTTTCTTTTCTAGCTCAAATGGCTGCTGCATGCTGGGGAGCAAAGAGGCCTCTGCAGCACGCTGATACTCTGGAACAGTTTAATGATAGTAATCAACGCATGATTGTGAAATTGCTATAATTGCGAGGTTCTGCTGTGTGGGGAAACGGAGGGTGTCTGCTGCCTCTCTGGGAGCCTGAACTCTGCCTCGTGTTTTTGTGACAGACAGTGCAAGAGGCGCTGGACAAAGCCAGAGAAGGTCGGACCTGCATCGTCATCGCACATCGCCTCTCCACCATCCAGAACTCTGACATCATCGCCGTCATGTCCCGGGGCTACGTGATCGAGAAGGGGGCGCACGACGAGCTCATGGCCCTGAAGGGAGCCTACTACAAGCTGGTTACCACGGGAGCACCAATCAGCTAACTGCTCAGGGAAACGGTCGCCAATCGGCCAAAGAGAAACAAATGTTAGGAGCAGTGTTATGGCCGACAGGGAACATGTAAGGAAGGAATGAAGTATTTATTTTTGGGATGGGATTCTGTTATGTGTACAGCAATTTTATGAATCTCAAACCCTATTTTGGGGTATTTTAAGACGATGTTGTCCTGCAATTCCCCACAGTATACTGCGCCAAACCAGTCCTTTGGTTTGTGTCTATATGTAAGTTGGATTCATGACCAATATTAACAGAGTTGCATTATGAATTATGAATTATATCAATAATTCATTTAACTGGAATATTATTTATATATTTCAAGTCCAAACACAACACAGTTATACCTCTACTGGTGGATATCCTTCACTGTACTCTTGCTGAAATAAAGAAATCTACTCTTTTTGCTGAGAGTGATACAAATAATTAAATATTTAATATTATCATCAATAGTATTTGGACGAAAGACATACTTTCAAGCATTAGGAAATACACAACATATAACATATGGGACCTTAATAAAGGATTAATGTATATTTATATTTCATTTTCATCAGAAGGGCTACGGTTTTAATTAACACCCAGGACACACATGCCTTTGACAGAAGCCTTATACATTTGCACACATTAAAAAGATTAGCTTTCAGTTCAGACTAGGCTTCATTAACAGCACAAATATATTAACATATCTTTGAAATGATCAAGGGTTTTTAAAAAGCTTGCAAATCTGCTGTCACAACGCTAGTTCAAGCCACTAGTTATCAAACAGAGTGGAATCATGGGGAAACAGCTAGACAGTCGCTGTCTCGGGGATACAATCATTTGTTTACCAGCACTGTTCCGGCTACAGCACATATCCAAAGTAATATTATCAGTATTTTGTTTTTAGAGATGCTACGTTGAACAGTGCCATCTGCTTCCCCCTGATTCCAGTCTAATCTAATGACCTGCTAGTTGTATCCATCTTCCAATCAAACTGTCAGCTAAAAAGTGAATATGTATTTCCCACAGTCTCAACTTTTGTCAGTTTTCAATGTTTTTGTATTGTTTGTGAATTAAATAAAACCATCAGACTGTCTGAGCCCGACTGAGCCATATTTGTGTGAAATATAGAATGGCCTCATTAATGAAGCACTTCTCAGTAAGCTTTCATTTGTTTTAACAAGCACCTGGGCACTGTTCGCATTTACTTCTCTCAAGTGGGCACTTGACTATTGCAAATAGTGTCGGTATTGGAACGCATCCAATGTCTGAAATACAGATTGCTCGTCCAACTGGATCTGTGTAAAGTTGTTACTGATGAAAAAACCTTATTTTTTTAAGTTTCTTTTACCATTTAATTATGTTGTTTAGTAATTGAATCCTTGATAATATGTACTATAAAAGTCAGATATCATCAGTCATGTTTACAGCCTGACTGTGGTCATGTAAGCCAAATATCGTTTTCTGTTATTGGTTTTAGTGTATTTTACACACCACACAGGTGTTTCCAGTTAAGCTAATTAGACCCAAGGTTGGAGATGGGCGGAGCTATGCTGGTGATAAATAGAGGTCTCTGAAATCAATGGACCAATAAGATCGACCGGTTTTTCCCGCCTTAACAGGTGCAACAAGAGAGTTGCAATCAATGCCGACAGTAGGGCCGGCTGTGGGGCATTCAAGGACACTTCTGAACAGTCAGAAGACTTACAATAACAGAACATTGACACATGGAACACTTTTTAAACATTTTAAAAGGCTACACCTCATTTTAAGACTTCCCATTCAGCATTAGCCTTTTCAACTAGCTGGGTAGTTTGGGGTATGCGATACTAATCAGAGGGTCAGTGGTTCATTATTGTATTTTTGAACAAAAGCATCAGCTAAACAGCATGCAATGTGCAGTGTTTTTGTCACACCTGCCCTGGCTGGTGTAGTTTTATGACTCATATAATCAGGAGATAGACACATCTTAAATGTGTTTTCATCTGAGCTATCTGATGGCTTTAAACAGTCATTTATTTTATAAAGGTAGAGGAAACTGATTACATTTCCTTAACTTCCATCTGAATTGTTTAACAGTAGTATTCATTCATATATTGATTGATTTATTGAGTCATAAACCCTAATGCTTTAGATGCAGAGCTTTATAGGATCCACCACTAAATGAGATAAAATGCTTTCAACCGCATGATGATAGAATAACACTGATGGAAAAACAAGGGCGCGGCAACGGTCACCGTGATGGATTACATATCCCAAGCTTGTTTCATTCTCAGCACTGAGCTGAAATGAATACAAATCACATGCTGCCTGGAAGGGCATCCGCATAAAAAGGAATAGCATGCTTTGAAAAACGATGTAAGTATGTTCAATTTGCATTTAATAGACAAAAAAAATCAATGGTATGGTATGTATTTTTCTAGCTGTCAGTCAGTCGCTGAAATAACAAGATGATATGCTTGTAATAAAACAGAAAGGCGCTGTCAGTATTACTCTAGTAGCAGCAAAGCAAAGCAGAACCACGTTAAAACCTGCTGCTGTGAAAAGCCTTCCACCGAGGAACATGTTGGGATAATGCATGGCCTGCTTTGTGAAGATAATGCTGTATGGCAGCATTTCAGGGCTTAGCAGTTCCTAGCTGAGAGCTGCTGTAGGCCTCTCCCAGACTCTTTTCCCCCTTACATAAACCAAACCATGAATAAGCAGCTTGATAGCATAAAACAGCTACTTAAAACTCTGTGACTGAGTGAATCCTTGACAGGAATATTTAATCCGGTGCTGGAGTGTATTCCGTGTTAACAGGTGTTGATGCTGCCGCTCGTGACAGCCGCGCCGTCAGAGTGCAGATGTCAGAGACACTCCATCAGTTAGCGGTAATATGTGATCACACCACACTGACCTCTGGGAAATTGAGTCTTTAATCACGACATCTCCAGACCCAGACTCCCGGTGAATTAGCATTCCTTAGATGCTATCTCATCTCGCAGGTTCCCATGCCAATTCATTCACAGAGAGGACACTGTTTGACTTTGTGCCATGCAGTGTCAATGCAATTCTGATTGATGAAAGCAGGCACCGGGGGCTGAGGATGTCTCTCTGTTGGGTGTGAGAGTGATAAGGAAGCCCCTCTGCCAACATAAACAAGCCTCACACAGGAAAACCGAGGATTTAACACTGCTTTTCCTAATTTCTCGTAAAATGTCAGCACTTTTCGGTGCATTCAAATGGATTATTGTGCGTGCCTCTCATCATTACATCCCCCCTTAATTTCCCATAAGGATCATTTGTTTTACTGACTTCCCGCCCTGAACTCACCTGCTGTGTTTAAAGCGTTAAAAAGCGCTGACAATCAAGAAGCCATTACAGCTAACTGAGAGGACGGACAGCAAATTGGTTGGCTTGCAGTAAAGCGGTAAATAAGATGGAGGAGACCCTTGTTTTTCACCGTGTTCAAAGCTGGCCTCGGGGCGGCTGTGTATCGAGTCAGAATTTAAATGTGGTAAAGAAGAGAAAACATTTAAAATGAGACTTCAGGCTGGAGAGAGAATAAAGAGTTCAATATTTGATCCAAGGTAGCAGCTGGAGGAGGTTGCACTCCAAACGCTCAATCATAATAAAAGGCTGCTTTGTTGAAGTGTCCTTCAAAGTATTATATTTTACTCAGTTTTAAAAGACAGGTCTGACCTTCAATAAACACAATCAACTCATGTTGTGAGAGTGGAAACGTTTCTGAGGTAGCAAACAGAATACATCAGGTCCCAGATTTGTTTCCTAGTTTATAACTAAGGGCAGAGTTAATATTAAAAGCTTTCCTTTTTCATCTCAGACCCAGGAAACAGTTCATTATCTTACGTTGATTGTTGTGATTTATGGTTGACCGTAAAGATGTTGGCTATCCGTCTATTTTAGAATTTAATACGATACTTGAAAGGGTCATAATACAGGTAATAAGTCAGTGCTTCAAACAGGTCAGCATGAGACTTCAGTGGTTATATCTGCATTTGTTTGACGGTTAAACAAATGTAGTAAAAGAATGCTCTCATTCTTATCATATGAACTCAAACTCAGTTCAACTCGTGGCTCATTTGATAATTGTAACACTTCCACTGCTGATCATCAGACACATTTTATTTGAAGACAAACTCACCCATGTAGAAAACTTGAATCTCTTCCAGCAGAACAAAGACTTTCTCCGCTGTTACTGCTCTTTTCTCTGGCCTCTCTTAGAGAAATTCATGATTCGAGTGGATCTTTCACCTGAAAAATTGCATAACATTGCATTATTTTTTGTGGCAACTTTAAAATCTATGAACATGTGTGACAAAACACACAGGACTATCCAACACATGTTTCCTTACACACTTTAACACTCAACAGCTATAATAATGGGCAACAAAGACAGGCTGGCAGAGAACCTATACCATAGCCTGGGGCCAGATGTTAGGCTATAACTACCAAATATTTATGACTGCCCATGAAAAATGTACCCTCTCTTGGAATAAATGTGGGGTAAAGAATTTGCTGATGTTTGATGACCTTCTTTAGCACTGGTTACACAGGGACATGTAGTAAAACTCTTGTCATAACACATAAAAGGCAATAAGATAATGAGTTCATATATATTAGGATAATAACAAAGAGTTCAAGTGTGTCTCACATACTTACACTAAGAGTTTATTAGTGCTATCATTCAATTAATGTATAGTTAATGTAAGCCTCGCTGATGTAAGAACTCAAAGTGGCATTGAGGTGATAAAATATGAGGGTTTTAAAAAAGGTAATACATTTCACTCCAGAATCCACGCATATATAATGAATGGATTTAAAATGACAAAGATAAGACCCTACACTTATTTTGCACCTCCAAATTGATGTTTTGAATTGAGAGACCATCTAGAATTCTGCTCGTTTGCAAGCTATAACCCGGGAGTATTGTTCCGTTGTGAGGCAAGCCTTGGGTAAGCCTTTCTCTTTCCTGAAGCATTCGAGTGGTAATTGAAGTTTCTCCAGGCGAGTAGTAGAGTTGTATTCTGTGTAAGCAATACGCATAGACCTTTGTCTCTGTAAATTCACAGTTTTTTAAATAACAGAAATGCTCGTGAATCAAAAAATCAAGGGGACTATTTTTGCATAATGGGTTTCCCGGTGTAGCTTTTCATTTGAGGGCTATGCTAATGTTCCCATTCAGCATTTATGAATTACATTTGCACAGCCTAGATCACTCACAGTTGTTTGTTTACATCAGTGGAGATGACTGAGCTTTCTCTTAACACGCAAGCCAAGTGGGATCTGGTGCTGATCTGTGAGCACCGCAGTGCTTTGACCTTGGACTCAGAAGAAGAAGAGAAGCATGTTCCCCATGTGCGAGGTCCACCATTAATCTCCTGATTCATTGGTGAGGCAGCATGATCCACTCTTCAAACCGGAGGTGCCGTGTTACGAGGCTCTTTGGGATCTCCGCTCTGCTGACCCCAGTGAAAAGACAATGCCCCCGCTGGGATGAATAAAACTGCTGTGTGGACGGCCATATTAAACTTTGCTGATCATTGTTGATGCAGTGGCTGCTCCTGGGAGCCGGAGCCACCTCCTTCCTGTAACCTCGTGAGATTTACTGCACCGGCCCTTATTCCTCACTTCAGCTCCGAGAAATCCCCCTTGAGCGAACCGGAGATAACATTAATGCGCCGCTGTCTAAATAGCATTCCGGCTGAGAGCTAATTCCCAATCAGATACAGTCTCTGAACAGACCCATTTGCGGGATTAGCAAATAGCTTTTCAGAAAAACGAGGCAGTGATTGACCTTCCAGCTGAACAACCTGCTCTGTTCATTGACTCTTCCTGTACTACACGGCTCTGACATCTAATTTAGTGAGCTGCTAAAGCATAACTAAATCCGTCTGTTGCCATGCCTTTCATAATGAAACATGCAGAAACAGCTGTGCCTTCCTGCGGATTATCTGTTTACTACCCGTGTTCATTCGTTTGGACACAACAGGTTATATATAGACACTTATTTAGTACAAACTTTTGTTCCCATGATTGAGGTTCAAAGGCAAAACATCCAAACTAAAGTACAGCACTGTGTAGCTGCAACCATGACAACTATATATGCTCAGTTCATGTTGGATTGAGAAAATGGGCTCTCCTTTTCATTTACAACAAGATCTTTTTTATGTTATGACCTTTATATAGAGTATACACTGAGCATGTTACTTTGTTATGGATGCTGCGTGACAAAAGGACACATAACTAAGTGTACAATGTACTGGGTCTGACAAACAGCAGATATTTTGTCGAGTAAAATGGCATCTCAAAATACATTACTTGAAAAAAACTAAGTAGGAACGATCAAGAACAGATAAAGTCGTGTTAGTCCCAGCGTGGATCGAACACATCCTCCTCACCGTGATGTTTGCAGACATTGCCGTATCAATCTTTCATTAATAATACATCATGAAATAAATGATGTTGAGGAAAATTAATGCTTGGCTTTTGGTGAATTGTATCCTCCCTAACATTGGATAAATCTACCACCTAGCAAAAGAAAAACAGAAACCCATTATTTGGAATAGATTTTAGTTCTAGCTTTAAGAGGGATATGTTTAATTCATAACTCGACAGGGTTCCAAAAGCATAAAGAAACACAATTTTTAGTAGTATGAGTCCCAGTGTTAAATCTTCTCACCCACAGGAAGGAATCTGTAACAGCCGAGTTAAAGCTTCCAGTCTCTCACCACAGCGGCCTCAGTGGACCACAATGCAATGCAGGAACAAAACATATTGTGTTGTGAGTAACAGTCTACTCTCTGCCGCCTTCATGTTTAACCCCTCTTGTAGCTAGCTTCTCAAACTTAGCGATACGCAACAAGTTCACACCTGTTCTCTCTCCGGGCCAGATGGTTGAATCTTTCTGGAACAACAGAAATTGGACAAAGTTCAGAAAAAAAAAATGTGAAATGCAATACTTATATAGACTCTGCCAAGAAAACAATAGTATCCAGCTATGTGGTTTTGCTCTAAATCTTTAAAAAATAACTAAATTACTCTACAACTGCCTGTGTATTTTTTGTAATGCTTATTATTATTTTTACAGAACAATTTGATCCATTATTAATTCATATTGATTCATATGCAGCTGTAATCACCTGGTGACCCCTGTAATGTATCGTGGGACCCTTGGTAGTTCCTGACCCCCATGTTGAGAACCACTGTATTTGTAACGATGATATGAGTTTTTCTCTCTTTGACACACTGCTATATTATCATTTTTGTGGGTCATATAGCTTTAGGAGAACAGACTAATTACTTTAATTTGTTAATAACTTAATAATGTTATATGTAAAACAGACCTTAAAACCATTTGATGAGTGTTTACCTTGAAGGGGATTCACAGTGTTAAAACTTGTGTTTGTACTGTTGGGCAGGATGTAATTAATGCGCTCAGCCTATTTGCATAAGTAATTAGCAGTGACAGACAGTGGTCTGTTTCAGTGTTCAGTCAGCCGGCTCAATGCACACACGAGGAAGGACTCACTGCAAACGCTGCGAGTGAATGTTGGCTGTTATCCTAATTTTCAATTAACATGCAAGAAAAAAAAAAACAATACGTGTCAAAACATTGAAACTCAATGTCACACAAACTGTGAGATTAAACTTGGAAGCTGTTGGGCTGCCTCACCCAGAATGAAAAGATGAGAAACAGTGAGATTAAAGTCGTGATCTGAGAAACTTTGTTCGGCTGCCACAAAAGAGCGTAATTATATAAAGCAGTCTGATAACATGTTGAATGACTCCATGTGGGGGAGACGCCTCCTCCCTCATGTGAGCTGCTGTTACACCCCTGCAGCCAGAGGAGAGGGTGATGTGTCATGACTGGGTAGGTGTACACTCCTAACAAGTGTGTGTGTTAGATATTGCACTAGGGGGGGATTTTGAGCTGACAGTGACATCATTCACATGTATCAGCTTTAATGTATGTGATTCCACGTGCCCAAACAAAATGTTAGTGCCCGTGTGTTTGACTTGCCTCACAGTGCCAGACAAGGTTGCGCTTATTACGACCATAAAGAAGCCCGGAGCTCTTGGCAGCGGTTATTTGGTGTCCTGTGATTATCTCCCATCAGCCCTGAGCCGTTCTCAATCCCCCGCTGACACGGGCCCGCCGCCACTTAATTTCATTGTCGATTATCTTGGTGAGCGTGGGGAAGAGCAGTGCTGCTGTATTAAGTTAATTGGAAGCGATAGGAGTGAGGAAGAAGCCTCTGATATAATGTAACGCTTGACCTTGGATTTCCCCCCCACCCATCTGACCTCAGCCTGCTGGGTAATTGAGTTTCTTCTTCCTGAGTAACAGCACTTTGTTGAATCGATTTTGGCCTTTGATTATCGCTAAAAACTTGTATCTGTCTCTGTGGAGGAAATATAATCTCTTTCCTGTCCCTCTCACACAGACTTATTCATACGCATAAACGACACACCTGGAGGAGAGTGTGAATAATGGCAGCCATTAATCTCCCGGACACTTGAGAATTTTCCGCAAAGCTAGCCTTGACAGCGCGTGCAGGATTTTTCATCTATTCAGGCGTTACATTGTCAGTCATTTCTGAGCTGTATACCTGCCTGTGATAGATGGGAAGGACTGCAAACAGAGAGAGCTTATCAGCCTGCAGATGGGGAGACGAGGTGATTAAAGCAGGGCAGGAACAACATCATAATTGAACCTGCTGGCATTCACAAAAGCAAAAATCCACAAAATATGACTAAAAGTCAGAAATTGTCATTTTCATCGAAAGCTCCTGATGTAGCACAATTTAAAGGCCTTAAAACAGTGTGCAATGCCCCTTTAAGTGACTCAGACTGCAATTATTGAACAATTATTAGTAATCATTTCTGAGTTATCGATGTAATTGACCAGATTTTAGTTTAAAGACTTGCTCAGTGGGATTGTTTGCAGCGTAACATTCCTACAACATTTCACTGGAGCTCCGCGGGCAGCAGATCCATCCAAAGACGCGTGTGCAGGTTTCTTCCACAGTGCCTTGTTATTCTGTGCACTTCATTTGCTTTCCATGCGTAGTTTCCCTTTTTTTTTTGGTATATTGTGCAATGTTATATACATATTATATCATCACGTGGCTGTACATTTTATACTGTAAGTCTTTGCCTTATTTCTTTCTCCTGATGATCACTTCATGGTAATTTTCTTAAGATTAAAATCTTGTTGTATTTTTCTCTACGCATGTGTCTTTTCTTTGACA